GAAAGGAGAGCGACAGACGAAGTTAAGAGATGCTGTGCATTGGCAGTAGCGCAAAGTAGCAACTATGCAGGGCTTTTATTTTGAACGTCTTTTCCGTGGCCAGATAGAAAGTTCGTTGCGACGAAAATGAAGATTTTGATAACGGTGTTAGGAGTGAATTGTACGATCTCTGATCAGGCGCTTTTGAAGACAGATTAAGATTTCGAACTAAGGTGAATGACTGGCTGCAGACAAGACGTTTAATGAAGATGGAGGAGCCACTGCCAACGTAGGGATGAATACCGCCTTGCGAAGCGAACTCTGAATATTAAGGCCTGATACAAACGAGCGGATGAAAGACCTCCAACAACGTGGGAATATCTTTTTATAACTGACGTGGCGTCGAAGGGAGTGATTAATACGAACACACATTTATTCGATCCTAGTGGAATGTCCTTGCGGCAGTCGACATGGCCTCCGATGCAATAGTATAAAACGATGAAGAATGATAAATTTTATCAGTTTCAGTCCAGTACTCTTTCCATGGTAATACTCTTTCCAATACTCTTTCCATTTGTTCTGGAAGACGCTTTTTACGGCCTCTGTTGCGTGTGTGTCCTGTTGTTGGCACTGGCATTCATCGATGGCCCTTACATACGTCACCGCCTCGTGTAATTGAGCGTCAGATCAGATCAGATTGATGATAGGTCGTTGTCACATGCAAACAATGATCGTTTCAGTAAGTCACTTGGTTGTCGTCGACGTTTATACGATGCGCTCGTCGCTTACGGATTTCATGTCGTTTTTGCCTATTTATTTAACGACCCAGCCGCGCCGTTGCTGCCCCCTTCCGTCGTTCGTTCTTACGGCCTTATTTACGTTTGTTCGTTCAGCAATGAAGATTTATGGTCGCGCACGCCAGCGAGCGAGGCACGAGGCGGCAGCGACCGTTGCAAAGCTTTTCGCCTCTGGCCCGGGGACAGCGGTGACACGTTGCGACATTCGTCGTCGTTATCGGCCGGTTTGCTCCTTTTCTGTCCACCAACACCTGCCACCTAAATAAATTTCATCAACTTTTTTGCGCCCATGTTGCGGCGGCTGCTTGCTTAGGTCGTCTGCCCCCTGCGTAGAATCAATAATATATTCCGTCGTGTTTTGCGATGCGACCATTGGACGGTAGCGTAAATGATTTTGAGGCTACAGTACAGGTCGAATGCAATTCTAATCAGTAATGTCAGTCCTTAAACAGAAATGAATTTTGGATAATAAAATCACGTACCTTTTTAGATTAATTTTCATTCATAAATCATACACTATCTACATCTAATTTACGTGACAGATCATTTGTATTCGGTTCTAAATGTAAATGTACCATATACTTTTGAATATATTTATGTTAAACCTCATTAGTGAACTGTTTCAATGATCGTACCGATATACTGAAACATCCTATTTTATTATTTGTCTTTTCTATGGAAC